GGGTGCTGTGCCGGGAGGGTGCTGTGCCGGGGCGCCCATGCCGCGGCCCGCCGGGTCTCCACTGCTGTCTGGCAGCGCGGTCTGGCTGATGGCCTGTGGGCCGGGTTTGTTGTGCTGGCAAACGTGGTTTTAGGGCGAATTCAGTGTGCCTGCACTCTTGGCCTAGGGTAAAGCTTGAAGCAAGTGACTAATTGTGGGTGTTTTCCTTTCACTTCCTGTGTTTCGGAGGTTTAAGCTTAAGTAGCTGCATCGTCTCACTGAGGATATAGTGAGTTGCAGTGTGGGGAGAGCAGCACCTACGACAGGTTGAGAGTGGATGCTCTAAAGCCAACTTTGCCATCAGAGGCACTATGCAGTGATGCTACATCTCACACATGCATGTGCAGACAGATCACAGAAATGGCTCCTAGCAGGTGTATTTTTATTTAGAAACAGCATGAGATTTGCTTCCTATAAAGTCAAGAGGCACGAGCTGTGTCACAGTGTGTTTCCAAAAATGTAGTTTTGCTGTCAAAATACAGGAAGGTTTCCAGTGTGACCTGCTCTAGGTGGCCCTGCCATGGCAGGGAGGCTGGACTGGGTGATCTCCAGAGGTCCCTTCCAAGGCCAGTGCTTCTGTGACTTGCATCCAGCTTTTTACATTTGTATTACTCCAACAGCTGCAACTTTTGAAACGCTCTGTGTGCGAGAATGCATCCTGGAGTTAATGGGAAGGTTGAGATGAGTGAGTGTCTTTTCTTAGATGTGATTTTTTGATTAGGGCTGAGGCCATGATGTAGTTAAGTCTGAGGTTATGTGCTTTATTTACGCATGCAGTAAACATCAGCGTTGGAGGAGTCTGGAAGCAATTGATGTGCCAATGGGTTATATTCAGCTCTGGAACAGGTATCTTGGTTTTGCTTGTGAGCATCACGGGAACACTGAGATTGAAAGGGACCTCTGGAGGTCCTCTAGCAGGCTCAGCTGGAGCAGGTTGCTCAAGACCATGTCCAGTCAGGTTTTGACTCTCCAAGCACAGTCTGCACAACCTCTTGGACAGCCTGTTCCAGTGTTTGACCACCCATTTAAGTGAAATTTCCTGTATGTCAGTTTGTACCCATCGCCTCTCGTCCTGCCAGTGTGTGTCATTCCAAGTCTAAACCTTCTTTAGTCATAGAATCATGGAATGGTTGGCATTGGAAGGGACCTTAAAACTCATCCAGTTCTGACGCCCTGCCACAAGCAGGAACACCTTGCGCTAGAGCAGGTTGCTCAAAGCCTCATCCCCACCAGGTGTTTGTACACGCTGGCAAGTTACCTTCTGAGCCTTCTTTACTCCAGGCTAAGCACTCCCAGCTCCCTCAGTCTCTACTCATGCGAGAGATGCTTCAAGTTTGTAATCACCTTCATAGCTCTTTGCAGGTCTAACTCCAGTATATCGCTGTCTTTCCCGTACCGGGGACCCAGCACCTTATGTGTGCCTCACCAGGGGGGAGAAGGATCACCTACTTCAACCTGTTGGAAATGCTTGCCTAATCCAGCGCATAAGGCTGTTGGCCTTTTTTGCTGCAAGCGTGCTGCTGGCTCAGGGCCACTTCAGGTCCACAAGGACCACCAGGTCCTTTTCTGCAGAGTTGCTCTCCAGCTGGTCAGCCAGCAGCATGTGCTGGTGCATGGTGTGAATCCTTTCCTGGTGCAAGACTTTCCACTTTCTTAAGTTCTTGAGGTTCCTGTTCCTCAGCCTGTTGAAGTCCCTCCCTGACTGATAGCATAGTCACATGGTCTACCAACCACTGCTCCCAGTGTTGTATCCTGTACCAGCTTGCTGAGTGAGGCTCACTAATGAAGGTCAGTGTTGGCCACAGGACTGACCCCTGATGTGCAGCATTAAGCAGGGATCTCATGCTGGACTTTGTCCTGCTGATCGCAACCCTTTGAGCCCAGCACTTTGGCAAGCTGTCAGTCCACCTCACTGTCAGCTTATCTGACATGGATTGTCTGTGAGGACATTGTGAGAAACAGAAATAAAAGCCTTTCTGAAATTGAGATAAAGCATCCACTCTGTGGGTCCTCTAATCACAGGAGGAAATCTGGGTTTGTTCTTAACTTCCAGCTGAAATCTCAGGATTTGTGGATATAATTCAAGGTATGCTGAGCTGGAACAGAGTCTGGAATAAAAGTTTTGAGAGGAATTAACTGCCCTCCTCGCATCAAGGGGGAGTTAAACCTACTAGCATACCTTCCTTATTTCAGGTTTTGAGCATCCCATAAGAAAGTAGAGGAGGGACAATTACTGAATAGGGACGATTACTGAAAATACAAGTAGGTGGATTGCAGTAACAGGAAAAAAATATTACATTCATGTACTTGGGACTGTTTTTGTTCCAGTTTCTAAAACCTTGTAGAATTGTGTTGTGGATCAGTGCCCAAGTTCCTTTCAGTGTAGTACTTTTATGGTAAGAGTCTGCTTTGACTTTTACTTGAGTTAAAGACAGACTCCCATGTGCTTCAGCATAACTTGGCTTAAATTATATTACTTGGTTTTTCCCAGGTTTAGATAATGTTTATTTTTCTTCTGAAAGGTGTTATTTTTGCTTTATGCAGGGTGATGCACAGAAGAATTTTTACTGGATGCTCTGAGTTAGATAAATATAGTGACTTACAAATTGCTTTCATAAATAGTCAAGACTATTTCAACTTCAAAATTAAAATCAGGTTTATTTCTACCTGTCACTCATGCTGCTTTTTTTTTCTAAATAAAGAAATCCTGAATAATATTCCTAAAAGTCGCATGAAAACTTACTTTCTTGGTAGCTGATCTTATGGGGAATACTTACTATAAGTGTCTAATTTTTTATTATTTTCCTGACCTTCCTATTAACTGAATGTTTATTTTCAAGGGTAGAGACTTCCATATCAGGATACTATTACCAATGGATTTTCAACTGAAAAATGCAAGGTAAGATAGTCTTATGAAAGCAATTTATAAGTGTTTGTAACAAAAGCTTATTCCAAGAAAAGCAGTGATGAATATGCATATGAATTATTTTTTTTTTCCAATATCGTGTTGATAATTAATTCTTACTTGTTTCAACTTAACCTTGCAACAAAATTGTTCAGTGTTAGTGTTAATAAACTCTGACAATAAACATTGCCTACATCAAAATATTTTGTGGTTAATTAACTTTGAAACCTGTTGCAATTAATTGGGTGTATTTATATAGAAAGGGAGGGAAAACATTCATTTAAATCAGATTATTTATATGTCACCATTTGGAAAACAGAAAATTCAGTGCAAAGTTGTAAATTTAAGCAATTATGGGCTTGATGAACTTTTCTGTAAAAGCTCTGTTCTTATCACTGTGTTTATCACAGTAATACATGGGGATGTGTGTGTTTTATGCATGCTTAAATGTTGCAGTCCGTAGTTGTGCCTGGACCAGCCTGCTCTGAATGTGAACAGATGTGGTATTCGAGAGCTTTATTACTTTCTAGGTCGGATACTTAAAACCACATTATAGGTAACTTTGACATTTTCAGGTTGTAATTTTTAAATATAGGTATATTTTATGAAGTCATACTAGCTTACAAGAATTATGTTGTTGTTTTCAGCAAAGAACAGGCTTTCATAGGTAAATGCTTAATTTTTAATGGACTTTGGGATAGTGACATTTGAAAGTTTTAAATAACTTTGAATGTGAAACTTAAAGAAATTCTGAAGTATTATTTAGTTCCTTTGTTTTTTTGAAGAGAAGCTTTTATGTTGCTGTGTAGCAGACTTTCTGATCTCTGCTACAGATTACGTACTGTGAATTTAAAACTTACACGATGTACTGTTTGTCTAGGCTAGAGTGTAGCTGGCACCTAAAGAAGATACTGCATCAATATCGGCATATTTTAAAGCAGGTATACCACTTTGAAACCCATTTCTGTTGAGTGCATACTTGAAAAGCTTATATTTACACACCTATTCTAAAACTGCTAAAGAACTCTAATTCTACAGCCAAGGTTTATTCTTATGTACTTAACGATTTGCAGGTCAGTCTAAAGACAGACGAATGAAATTTAGTAAATCCTTAGTTTTATTCAAGCTTTATTTTTTTTTTAAGATTGAGATAGAATATTTTAAAAATAAATGGCTGCTGACGTTTTACTGGAATTTGTCTTTAATCTCTCAGAAACAGATTTTGGTTTTCACTTTTATCTATTTTTTTACAGAGTTTTCGTAGTGCAAAGAAGAGAATTCACATTAATTATTGCTGGGTATAGCACAAACTGTGTTGTAGTCAGTCAAGGAGTCTAAGTTAAACCCCTATATCTAGAAGAAACTTTATAAGAAGGCATCTTTGCCAGGTGTGCTAGTTGAGACTCTCTTTCTCATGAATTGTGCGCCCCCTTGGAGAACAAGGGTTATGAGTTGGGAGTAACCAAAGATACAGAGCTGAGGAAAGAGAATCGTAAATAGGCATAGCATCTGAAGATAGACAGAGATCCCTAATCATGTGCAGCATCTAAAAGGAGATGGGTCTGGAGAGTTCCTAAAGAAAATGTAACTAACTAAGAAACATTTTTGAGTGATTCTAAGCTTCTGTTCTCATTGGTGAAGACAAAAGTCTTCATAAGTGTCTTCATAAATATGTAAAGTCTTTATAAACTACGCAGATGTGTCGTGTTGTTACAAAGGTGATGGTTCATTTTCAGGAAGGTTTCCTGTACTCTGGTAGATTTGTTCTGTAATTGAAATATTTAAACCTGTGGTGTACAGTTGGGGCTGTTTATATGAGTCAGTTTGACAACACTGTAAAAATAGTTGGACTGAAATTGCTTACCACTAAAAGTTATGACTTGAAGAACTGATACTGTGTTCCCTCCAGAGGCTGCACAGCTGTCCAGATCTCAGCAGCTTTATGGTGGAGCTGAAAACTATTTTGGTAAGTGACAGAATATGTATGTGGGAGATGGGATGTTCTCAAAGCTTTGGTTTTCACTTTCAGGTTTTTTTACAGCTTACTGTTTGATAGGTGGGTTTATGTGTTGGCTTTTATTTTTAAGAAAAGGTAATTTTGTATGTATGTATGTATGTTCATGTAATATTTGTGTAAATATCCTTTAGGATTTTAAGTGACTCTCTGGAAATTTGAGTGTCATGGAAAAATTAGAATCCCAGCAAGGGATTTCAGTATAGAGCCATCCTCTTTGCAATGATTTTCTTGGAATTCCTGTTATTGTCCAGATGGCAAAAAACGCTTATAAACTTACAAAGGATTATACAGTCTCTGGATTACTGAAGGTGCTTTCACCTGGGTGACAACTTGAACCATAAGAGCAGAAAACATTTTTTTTTTTAATAGCTCAGAGACTCTTTACTATTTTTTCTTATTATTTTTTTGTAACGTGGGATTGAAGAACAAAGTCTATGGTTAACTGACCATTTCTTGTCTGTTAGTAAAACATTACTCTATGAGCATTCTTGGCAAAGAATATTTGCATTCAGCCTACTTAGAAATGAAACACAGTAAGTATTTTTCAAAACAACAAAATACCCTCCTGGTATTACACTACTGCTCCGTGCTAGCAGTGCTTTTCCTCACTATTGGTTCAATCCCTGCCAAGCAGGATTATGCTAAACCAGGCAAAGATGCTTCGAATAGGACTGAATAAGAATGTCTAAATGTGGCTGTTTTGGAATATTTCACAATAGTTATTCCAATCTCTGCCTGGATACACAAGCACTCAGAAGATGAGAATGCAAAGAAAGTATAATTCATTCAAAATAATAAAATAGTGATCCTCAGTGCAACAAAAGACACCATGGCAGAACTGTGCAGAAATAGTTGTTATACTGATTCTATAATTCGTTCTATTTATTATTTCTTTTATTTAAGTTTCCCTTACTTTGATTTATTAATAATTTTATTATAAATTTCATTAATTTATTTATTTGTCCTGTAAGCATGATTTTAACTGAAGTAAACCTTTAAAGATGAAGTAGCACAATAGAAATGTGGAACATCTGGTTTAGTTTTTCTCTATAACATGGCTTTACCTCTTTGATAAAAATCTCTTCTTGAGGCATTACGACATACTTGATGAGTGTCTGTACCAGAACTTACTCTCTGGGTTCCTATGATGTTAAAACTGAGAAAGTGATTTTTTGATTTATATTTTTTATTGCTATATAAAGTTGTATATAGCTACTTAAAAATAATATGAGGGATTTCATACATGTATCATCTTTGTGGCTGTGGGGCCCAGGAGACAGCTGTGGGCTTAATAGAACCTTCTTTTGAAATGTTCTTTCAGTCAAGATGCTTGACTTCAAATTTATTAGCTGAAAAAGAGGCACATTTGATATTTGCATCTGAAGACCAAGTTGTCAACATCTGTGGGGTTGTTTTTTTAAATTGCAGATGTTTTCATTACCAGTATCTGAAGTAATTTACCAAACAGCTTCTTTGTCTGCTTTAGCTGGAGGCTATAACAAAACAAATGCAGTGTACAGTTAATTTTACATAAGCTTAATATTTTTGAATGGATTGCAAAAATCACATGGCTAAATAGATGCAAAAATATTGAAATCTCTCTTAATGATGTTTTAAATGTTTTTTAAACAGGAAATTGCTTTAAAGAATACACAAGACCTGCATATACCACGGCCGCCACAATACTACTCCAGTCTTGTCAGAGATCTAGAAATACTAGGTTGGAATAAGTATGTTTATTTTATTTCTTAGCAGACATCTTTAGAATATCTGTTCTTCTTCTGTATTTGTGAGTTGTACATGTCAATGTACTTGTTCTTTTAATTTATCCTGTTCAGAAGCTGGCTTTGCTTTAAAATCTCTGCTGCTTTGTTTTTACTTTAAAAAAACCCAACAAAACTGTATCAACTGAAGTTATATTTTCAGTCTCAAATAACTAAGCTGAAAGGTGAGATGCTACTACTAAGAAATCAATTCTTCTTTGACCTATAAACTATTGGCATAGTAACCATATTTAATACAGCATTTATAGCTCTCCTTTTTCTTCATTCTCTTCCCAACTTCATACAGCTTTTTTTGACTGTTCCTTTATGCTATGGTTCATCTTCATGTACTTTTATGCTTTTATGAAAACAGTTCATGCATTTTTTTAGAACTAGAATAATTGTTTTTAAAGAAACAGTTCTGTCTTGCTCTCCATAGCACAAGGATCTCCTTATACAAAGGAATAACACAGTTAATCCACAAAAAGGTAGATCTGGGGGCAGGGGGAATGAGTGAGGAAAGCTGTAAATCTAGAACTTCCAAAGAGCCAGCAATTTACGACACCTGCAGAGAGAAACATATACATATATATATATATATGTGTGTGTATGTATTTTGCTACCTAGATGAATTCAAATGGAGATAAGGGCTATTGAAAAGCATTCTTTAGTCTCCAAAAACTGGAAGTAGACCATGTTTGGGGGAAAATGGGGAAAATGCTGGTTAATGCACAAGGGGAATGTAAACTGTTACCTGAGGATGGAGGCTTAGTACACCCAAGAACGTGGTTTCATGTATATGCTGCACTGTAAACTGAATATCTGTGGAAGAAGTGACAGCTCAGTTCATCTTCTGGGAGAATGAGAACTAGAAGTGAGTCTTTTCACTCCAACTGAAAATCAAACCCCAAAATCTTCAAAAAGCCCATGCTAGCAAAACAAACGTAATATATACTTAAAGACAATAAATACACTTTAAAGATGTATTTATATGAAAAGTACTATATTTCTTATTTTCTATATAAATATAGCATATAGCTAAATATACTAAAAATACACTTTGAAAATACATTTGAGTAGCTTATCTCAAAACTGGTATTTGTTCTGACTTACTGTATATACAAAACATCCAGTGGGTTATTATTAAAAAGGACATCAGTGTTTTACCAGAGCATGCTTCTAGGGCAGAGTTTGACCTGGTTCCTAGCACACATGGTCTTTGTGCAGCCACACAACTTACGCTGTGCTTTTGTTGAGTGGAGTCATGTAATTCAGTAAAGATACACCTTGATAAGGTACCTGTTTGAGGTTTTTTTGGTTGGGAAGTTAATCGTTAACCAAAGGGCTAGGCTGTACATAGGGGATCATACCTCTAATATGCTGCTAAAAAGGCCTTTTAACCTTGACTGATTTTGAGTTGCAGATATATTTGCATGTTAGTTAAAAACATCCTGGTATGATCTTTCAGTGCAAGACTAAGCCTGCATTTAGTACTGGTAATAAGGATCAAGCCCTGCTCACACCTTGAGAAGCCTCCAGCTTTATTTATCATGGTTTTTCTTAGAAAAGAACTGGCTTGTTGTAGAACCTAGATTTACCTTTTCCTGGTGAGTTTTGGGTCGTGCTGGGAGCTGGCTGCATCCAAATCCAACTGAAAAACTGAAGGATATTTAATTTGAAAGCCAAGCAAAGCAATAAACTATGGTTCCTTTACCTCTGAAGCAAGTTAGGAAGCTCTCAGGTATGGCACAAGCTTAGTGTGTTCTAGTGGCTTTTATCTCTAAGGAATATGTGACGTTTCTCAGAAACAAATTGAAGACATTGTCTGCAATGATCTTGCACCTCTTCCCTCCTAAGCCACTGAAAGTACATACAGTAGTGAGGATTGCAAATGGGCAGGCTGCTGTGATCAGGTATAATCACTTTCTCTGTATCACAGTGAACTTGATTCTTTGACCTAATGTGGGTGTGGGAGAGGGTGAATATGCTTTCATATTCAAATGCTTTCAGCAGGTTGTAAAATGGTACCAAATTTCCAACACTTAAGTGCTGTCCTACCAGCTGAGGAGTTCAAAGGAGGATACTTCCTTCATTTTAAGAACATGAAAAAATACCAGCACAAACCTCATCAGCTGAGGTGGGAGACAATACACACGTAGTAGTACTAAGCTATAGGAAAGGCTCTTCTAATACTATCTCATAACCTCGCTAGTTGATTCAATGACAATGTCTCAGGAAGGTAAGTTATGGAATTTCAAAGATGTGTAGGACTCCTGTCATCCTCGTGTGGATTCATAAAGGTTGCTAATACCTCTTAAGGCCATGGTGTGAGTCATGCTCTCTCAAGTCTCAATGCATTTTTGCTTGATACTTGCCAAGGTTGTTCATATAAGTATCTTCTTTTCTTTCTTTCCCCACTTCCAAGGGAATCCTGCATTGTCATCTGTTCTCAATCATTTGTGTGTTATGCTGAGTTACAGTACTTCAGAGATTTAACTGAGGCTTTCCATCTTTATGGTCATTCCATTTTTTTCTGTGTGATAAAATGATGGAGCTTACAAAGAGTGAAGGTTTCTATAACTGAAATACCACCTATGTAAACAATTCCTTATTTGATTAGGCAATCATATGAAGCAGTTCATTTGGCTGTTATAACGTTGTCCAACTTCTTCCAGTCCTATAGAACTGCCCCTTTTGTCTCTTCTTATCCAAAGAGTAGTAGAGTGGTGTTATAGAACAGGTAGCCATAAAGCTACTGGTTTTCTTTTTTCTATCCTAAATGGAAAATTGAATCCTCCTTCATATATTACATTTTGTTGGGAAGAAGGAAGGCTGGCTAGGAATATTCATTCTGGGCATTCTTTAACCCTGTATACCCCTTGTCACAGGAGTTTTTATATTCATTACTGTTCCTGTTTGTGACAAAGTTTGAAAGGGAAGAGGACATCTTACTGGAAAACCTCTAAAGAGATGGTTTGTGATGAATAATACTTAAAAGGTGTTGTGTTGTTTAGCTTGAATAGTTACCTTCTACTAACAAACAGCTAGTTGTTGATGTCAATTAAATAAAAGCCATAAGAGTTTGCAGATTGGTTTGGATTGTAGTGGTGCATCATAGCTTTGATAATCTGTATTTTCCAGTTATCTACAAGCTCAGTGAAAATCACATTTTAATCTGGTTTTAAAAATACTTTAAATACGAATTGTGAAACTAAAAATATGTTAAAAATCAAGTAATGGACAGAACTTGAACATCATTTTATGATGTACCCCTTTATAGGTAACTGAACAGGGAGCAAGTATTGGTGCTCTCATCACCTTTTCCAAGGTGACACTTTTTTCTTCTTAAACTTCGTCTAATTCACACTGTCAATAAAACTGAACGTGAAGGTTCATTACAAATGATTGAACATAATCATATAATCACTATATTTTTAACATAATGGTGTGCATGTTCTTATATTTTAAATATAAGTATAAATGCACACATGCGTATATGTTTATTTTAGGCTGTCAGGTTGTTAAACTAATTGTAAAAGTACTGAATCCTTAAGGGTTTCAGAAATAAATTTAAAGGTAGGTGTGTTGGTGTCCTCAGCATAAGAAGGACATGGAGCTGTTGGAGCAAGTCCAGAGGAGGCCACGAGGATGATCAGGGGCTCGAACAGCTCCTGTATGGAGACAGGCTGAGAAAGTTGGGGCTGTTCAGCCTGGAGAAGAGAAGCTGCGTGGAGACCTCAGAGCAGCTTCCAGTGCCTGAAGGGTGCCTATAAGGATGGTGAGGAGGGACTCTTCATTAGGGACTGCAGTGATAGGACAAGGGGTGATGGCTTCAAACTGAAACAGGGGAAGTTCAGGTTAGATATAAGGAAGAAGTTCTTTACAGTGAGGGAGGCAGAATGGGTTGGCCAAAGAAGTTGTGAATGCTCCATCCCTGGCAATGTTCAAGGCCAGGTTGGATGGAGCCTTGGGTGACATGGTTTAGTGCAAGGTGTCCCTGCCCATGGCAGGGGGGTTGGAACTAGATGATCTTAAGGTCCTTTCCAACCCAAACCACTCTATGATTCTATGTCCATTGCTATCTAAGAAATATACATAATTTTTTAATCTTGTTTCCTCTCACCCAATATACAGTAAGGAAATGCAAACATTATTTTTAAACTAAATAATCCACACCTTTCTGGCACCTCCAGAGTGAGGTGGTCCAAACATGATGATTATTGTAACAGATCATTTTAAATCCTAAGCACCTTGACAGCATCCCTTTATTTTTTCCGTTCTCTTTTGCAGTTTACCTTTACAGTGCCTTGATGCTGGCACCAGTTGTACTTTGGTTTGGACTCTGCTATATTTTTTATCATATATAGGGGTGAGATACAAGTAGTTCTTATCTTTGTAAAACTTTGTGATATAATTTTAAGTTGGAACAAAGCAGGAGCCATTATTTTTTTCCAGTTAGAGGCAGAATGCTCTAATTCTGTCTAAATAAATTGAGTTTAATTGACTACAGTTGAGTTACACTTTTATAAAGACTTGTATTTCTTTCAACTGTCGGGAAGAAAAGGAGTGTCAAAGTGCCACCAGGAATCTGTGCATCTATTTAATATTACATTAATCAGCATTAAACATGAAATGATAGGTATCTCTCCCTGCTTACTACCGGCACTGCTTTTTCAGTCTGTATTTTCAGGTCCCCTCATATTGAAGCTATGTCATTTATGTAGATCATTTTCTTTTCACTTCCTTCCTAGGAATGCGCACACCCTTTGCTGTATGTCTCCTTTTCTTGTACAGGCTTCTACAACTGCACGGCCAGTTTCACTTGAAAGAGAACTGTTTTTCCCAACATTCTGGCTTGAGTGACTGGACTAGTATGTAATGGTTTGAAAAAATAAATGTTACTCAGGCCAGAAAGCAGATGCTTTCTTTGCACTCTGATAAGGCCTTTCCATCAGTCATAGGTGATAAGTTGTACAATAATCTTGGGCTGCTTTTTATCTTTACGCAAGAATGACATAGTAAAAATGCCAAAATATCCACGTGCCCAGTTCACTGGTAAATATATGGAGAAGTTTGAACATTTTTGGCAGTTGTTGAAGGTATTCAGATGAACCTATTTCTAGGGAACAATGTGGTTTACAATTGTATTCATCTTCATTGCAGTGGGAATCACAAATCAGTGACCTCTTAAAGAGTCAGTGATTATGTCAGAAGTTTTAAAACTTATTTATGTTTAGTATGTACTTGCTACTTGCTTCGGTGCATGTATACTGTGTAAAACTGTCACGAAACAGAGGCAAATCATCATAAATAACTCATTTCCTACCTGTTTGGGTATTATTTTCTGCAGGAAATCAATTTTAGAATATGAGCTAATATCCACTGAATTTTCCACAATAATAGTATTGATAATAAAAGAGAACTTCATTGAAGAGAAAAGCAAATCAAGGGCATAAAAGTCTCAGTAAAGAAACTGCAGAAATGGATCAAAGATTTGACAGGAAGTTTAATGTGTACATAAGTAGAGGCTGACAGGAACATGCTGTGTGTGTCAAAGGTTCTGGTGATGGAAAACTGAAACACAGTGCTCACTGACCACAGCATGAGCCTTGACACACATTGTAAATAACCCAAAGATATATGACTGCATTAAGCAGTTGACTGGTGTATTAACAGCAGTAAATCTAGAACAGCAGAAATGGTTGGCATACAGAGCTTCCTCTGATTAATATTTGCGACAGACTAATAAGAGTAATGCAGACATTTCAAACTGGACTTCTTCACAATGCTGTTAGAGTTTTCTTTTCTCTTTCAGAGTTGCATACGTGGATACTGGTCTGACCACAGTCAAGCTGAAAGCTGAAGACTCTTGTGGTCGACAGCATCTCATCACTCTGAAGTTCAATGCAAAGGTGAGTTGATGGGGGAGAAAGTATTTTAAGGCTTCCTTGTAAAAAGTGGATTTTTCTTTATTCATAAGTGTTTTAGAGAGTTGGTTTGTGAGTATATCTGTTCTGCAAGGTAATGGTGGGTTGTTTGTTTTAATAGAAAGTAGTTTTCAGACTTTTAACTATATTTAAAATTAATATTTCATTATGGTTATATGTAAGAATCTTTTCATATGAAACTGCATCGCACTTTATGCATCAAAGCACTTTACGGTATTGCAGTTATTTCACTGGGTTGCAGACAAAGCTTTCTGGGAGACTTTGATTCATTATCACTCCATCCAGAGATGATGCATATAACGAGAAAGAGAGGATGGTGGGTTGCTTGTTTAGGAAGTCTTACTGTTAAAGCTATAGATGTAAAGATTTATGGAAAATTGACTACAGAAGCAAACTCCTTATGTTAAAAAAAAGTTACTACTTTTTAGGCTAAACAATTGTCTGTTTTTCATAGTGTTTGCAAAGCAAATCCATGGTGTTTAATTCTTCCTGCTACTTAGAAGTGAACTCAAATTGCAATGTTTCTTCTTAGAATTTCTCATTTCAAGGCATAAATCTCTTATCAGGAACTATGAATATCCAGGTGTGGTGACAATTGGATGGTAATAGCTGTTGTCTTCAGAAAATCAGTTTAGGGGACAAAAATGTTTCCAAAAATGTCTAAATGTTGTTATTTGGACTGCCCTTCAACTATCGTCTGGACTAATAATATTGAAGGGATGAGGAGTGGGCTTAAAGTCAAATTTCACCTCCACGGGCATCCCATATTCCTTTAAATACCTGGAGTTTTTGAGTTTTGCATACAAGAAGCTAATTTTACCTTGGAAGAGGAAAAGCCCATGGAAAAGGCACTGGTTAGGAATTGAGGTTGCTAAAGTGGATGTAAAAAAAAAAGGAGTAAAATTGTCCTACATGCACAGACTAATGGATGCACAATTAATTTGCTACTAAATCCATTGATGGAAAAGATATCAGGAAGTACAATTCTGGTCTATTTAGCACATGAGGAGAGTGACCAGACTGTTGTCATGGTTTATATTGGAGCTGCTATGTCAGACTTAGTATGACACAAGCAATTAAGTGCAGCCTGTTGCCCCTAAGTTTTGTCTTAATTTTTATGGTGACCCAAGTAAAGTATTTCA